TGTTAAGTATTTGTTAATACAGTTAATAAATGTTAGATAATACTCTATGGCCTTACAATCACTGTTATGCGAATATTCAAATCAAATGTTGAATGTAGAGGACGAAAAATTGATCAGAAAAACCAGTTTTTGCATACATTCTAGTCTTCATTGCCGTTCTGTTGCGAAATTATCAACCTCCAAACTGTAAAACGTTAAAAATGCTAAAGCATAATGAACAGTTTCGCAAGAAAAGTTGCGCAATTTGACTTTCAGCGGGCACTCGAGAATTATTCTCACAAACTCACCGACCATGTCATTGATACTTTGACAATGTTAGCTAATCGCGCATATTCGACCATGTTCTCGACTTTTCAAATTTATAATTCAAAATTATAACCCTCGTAAAAGATCAGGATTCTATATTCAAAAATTACATAAACGATTCTTAATTTAAAATTGATCTTCCGAGGCAACAACGCCATGCACACATCTAAATACATCTCCCGATAGTGGATATAGAAAACCAAATTATACTTAATGCCGATAAAATAGCTATTTATATGGTTCACTATAATACAAATATAGTCGATATCTTTCTTTCACCACACGTGATTTGACCAAGTTGGTTAAGTGGTTAGTTAGGTAAGTTTCTGGTGAATTGATGAACAAGTGTTGTTCTCGAGCGGGTAGCCTCGTATTGGCTATCGTATTAAAGGACTCCCCACTAGAGGGAGTGCAAATCGCTCAGTATCATGCTCGGTTCTGATTTGTGGGGGAGGTCTATGATGATGATAAACAAGTTCTGACCATTTAATATAGGCGTAATTCTGAGGGGTGTGTAGATTACATTCTTGAGAATAATATACGTGTGTTCTAGTCTCAATTTACGTGTGATTTTCAGCAGAATAAAACAGTAAACTGAGTTGGATTTGAAATGTCAATATCACAAGGTCAAGCTCTTCGTCTGTCATGTCCATCAAAGTTACCATGTTAAACATAGTAAACGTCTCAGCAACAAGGTGTTTGGTGTTCTTTGAAGTTAATATTTATTACAATTTTTATTTTATCTTTTTTTTTCTTAATCCGAATTTGTTTGTTTGTTGTGACCATCTCATTTCTATACTTTCGAAATACACTATATCTAAGTTATTGTGATAACACAGAACACAACATATTTTTTTTGCATTATCTGAAATTAACAGAGACAAGATTGACTGCGCAATTCCTATGTTGAAAGAGTTTATGTTCAAGGCTCCCTAATCATTTAATTTATCTTATTAAAGCAAAATTAATTTCGCACACAAAATTTACCACGATAGCATCATGATTTTTAAACTAACTGAATTAGCCTTTTTGATTTTTTTTAATTTTTACCTAACAATGTTTCAACGTATATAATTTTATGATGTCGCCATTCCAAACAATTCACGGACTTTCGCATTTATATCATTATTTTAGTCCACGGGTAAAGATGAAAGGAATCACTTAAGGTCGTAAGCTACTTTTGTGATGCTCAACAAAAAGCGGATTACGTTCACGACTGTTGTAACGATGACGCATCACTTCGTTTCTGCTTCGTCACCAACCATCACTATCAACGCCATCACTCCCATTCACTCGCCTTTACAACTTTGAGCACGCGATGAACTCTTATCCGATACGGATTTCCACTGCGACGGTGCCACTCTGCTATTAGAGGTAGCTGGGGCGCATTTTAGCAACAAAAATCAAAATAGAACACAAACTTCAAATGTCTCACTTACTCGTACTGGGCATTTTATATTTGATTTTTAGTTCCCTGGCCTGTCTCCGCCATCCTATACCAATAAAATTAATATTTAAAATAATGAGGAAATATGGTAACAAACATAAAAAAATACTAGCGAATTGAGAACCTCGTCCTTTTTTGAAGTCGATTGAAAAACTGAAAACGTGTCAATATCAATATTAAATTAATAATATCATCTCTAACGCCCGGTTTCTGAAACACTGATCATCGTAGATGTCAACTAATCAGCTGTTAAATGGCTTTTCAAATTTCATTTTAGTTGCCAAAAGGTTGGTTAAACTCTTTGAATTGATCATCTCCGATGATCAGTGTTCCTGAAACCGGGCGTCAGTCGCGGAAACTTTCATATGAAATCATGGACACGTAGCACGCTACATCAAGATTCTTGCAATGGCAATGTGCAGATGGTAACAACTACACTAAAATGTTGTGAGGGTAACTTCAACTGCACCCAAGAAGTAGTGTTTCGTGTGTAGTCGTGAATTCCCCGTCACCGTACTTATTTATCGTAACATTACCCGCCTAATTAACGGCAACTAACTCGCGCACCAATGATGTAATCACCTATTGATGACAAGCAATAACGTTACGTTAGGTAATCGACCACAAAGAAGAACATTTAAGCCAAAAAAAATAGTAGGTACTCAAGAAATCAATTTAAAACGTCAAGCAGCGTTTCACCTGAGCTTAAGCGGTGTAAAGAATTTGGTGGTGCGAGCATGACCTTTGAAAATATTATAAATATAGTAAATTAATTTACGGTGGTAGGGCCACGCAACAGTTCGCTGTTGCACGAATGGGCAGGTCCGTCCGGGTTAGTACCACGACCTCACAGAAGACCGACGTAAAGTAGAAGTGTTGCACTTCTGTGTTTAGTCTGGTGAGTGAGGTAGCCGGGGCCCACATTATTAAGAGGTGGCAACGCATCTGCAGCCCTACGGGTGTTGCAAATGTCCATGGGCAGGCGATTATCACTTAACATCAGGTGAACCGCCAGCTCGTTTGACACTTTCTCACATAAAAAAAAAAAACAACATGACGCGACAACCTGTGCAAGTGTGTGGGAAATCGATGGATGCGGGGCGGCTCAGGACGTCGTTCGTGGGCAGTCTGTGATGGAAGCCAATGTTTAGCAGTGGACTCCAATAGGCTGGCATGATGATGATGTTTTAAAGACTGGCTGTCCCCTGCCCGCTTCGCTGGGCCATACCATCTTCTTTTAGTCTAAATGATATAGATTCCGGATAAGTAATCACCAACATGTCATATGCTAAAACCTTCTCCGAAACAAGCTGCATGGTATTATTCCGATTGGTTCAGTAGTTTTCGCAGTATAACCGAATAAAATAAACCTACTTTAAAATTGACGTCTTTTATTCAAAAAGTTATATTGGATTTCCACTTTTCGCGTTAATCGATTTAGCCTCTACTACAAAGATTTATGTTTACAAAATGTTAAATTGGATATTATTAACAAAAACGAAAAATTTATCCTAGAAAGCGTTTAGAATAACGAGCACAATACTGATTCAAATTCTTGTTGTTTCTAACACAACAATCTTTGGCTATGGAATGCGAAGTGATTATCGCAACAATATAAAAAAATATACTATTTACTTTTTCTTATTCATTATATAAATATAACAAACTGTAAAACAAAAAAAAAACAACCATCGGGTTGTGTTTACAAAATTATGGCCTCATGTTCATATTCCCGTATATATTTAATGTAACAGAGTGTCTTTTTGTTTCTCATTTAAAAGAATAAGAGTGATAAGAATAAGAGAGAGAATAAAAGAAATAGAGTTGTAGCTTTGAAACTGGTCTACGGCTACATTTAACTTCTTGAGTTGGATGACGCGCAAATATCAATATGTTCTGTTCAAGTGGCCCTCTTTATATAAGAGAGTTCATTCGTAATATTCTAGTAAAAACATCTCATGTAAAAATAAACCAGGCATTTAAGCAACGAAAGGAAGTATTATTTTATGTCTTTGGATTTTACCAGGCATTTAAGCAACGAAAGGAAGTATTATTTTATTGGTGTGTTTGCGAGTGAGAGTTGTACGTGTGTTCGGCAATTTAAAAACATGCATAATGTTTGAATCATTACAATACCTTTTGGTTAAAACAAATTAGAACGATTAGTCGATCACGATGATAAATCGTATGCTGCTGGCTTGTATATCTGAAACCAAGTTTAGTGCACGAATAAAAATCATTTGTTTTACTTACGTACGTTTCATGCCAAACTGTTACTTGAATTGTCATTAATACTTGTTTTGTGGTTTCATACAAGTACGCGAAATTTTTCCGACATATTAGTCTTAATGTTACATTACATTAAGCAGGAAGTTTGCAATCGTCATAACCTACCGTTGTAGTTTTAACCCACGAATTATCTAGTAGTCAGATCAACGCGCTTGTCTTTAATTCTGATAGACTTCATCAATCTTTTTCGCTATTAAACTGTCAGTAACATCCGATAAAGCGTATGATGTTCTCAGACTGATACGATTTAAGCACGTACAAGAAGAGTGTCTGTTCTCATCTTAACACCTCCGATGCTAATGAAATTCCTCTGGTGTTACGAATATCAATGGGCAAAGTTAGAGACTTGCCATAAGGTTGGTTTAGCCCGTTCGACAATAAACTCTCAAAAAAACGCTACATTGTGACGCCTTCACGGCCGTGATAAGCCCTTGGAGTATAAATTATTTAATTAGTTTCGTACCGTTTCTAGTGTTCCAGAGATTGCAATGAAATGACACACACAACTTTATCCCAGCATTCGTTTTATTACGCTCTTCAAGTATTAAAGTTACTTCGCTAAAAACTTGACAGTGCATCTAGGGCATTGTAAAATTAATTCAGCATTAATGAACATTTATTCCTATCACACAGCGTAATATCGCAATTAACAGCGCACGCGACTCCTGTCGAATTATACAGGATATCTAGGATCTACTTTGGTAGGGCAACGCAACAGATTCTACTGTTGCATGGAAGAAGACCAGAGTAAAGTGGAAATATTATAATTTCGCATTTCATCTGATGAGTGAGGTCGAGGTAACCCACTTTTTTAAAGATTGTCAGCGCATCTGCAAGCACTGAGGAGTTTCTATATCCTTGGGCGGCGATAACCGCTCAAGATTAGGTGAGCCGCCTGCTCGCTTGACAACTTTTAACATAAAAAAATAACATATCTTAATGGCTGTGCTCGAGTTCAAAGCGGTGCTATATCTGTGCTTCCCTCTGATCTGTGGTCCGGGTTACGTGAGCGGCCGGGGCCTCCGCGAGGCGGGCGTTCGGCCCGCGTGCTCGGTTCGGCAGTCTCGTATCGTGGGCCGTTCGCACCGCGCGCACTTTCGCCGTCGAACGCTTCCTCACTTCCGTCCAAGGGCTGTACCAACGGCGACCATCGACTTTGCATCGATATAGACATCGATATTTCTTAATGGCAATTCTCGTTTTGCGACCGCAAACAATCGATTAGTATTTCCAACGAACCTGTCGTACCCCTAACTTGAAATAGAAGAAAATTGCCGGTCGTCCCTGTGAATTGGTTCATTCGTGACAGCCGTGGACTTTGGATAATTGTTTCAAGCGCACTATTAGGACACCACCTTTTATTAATTGTTTGACTGCTAAGTGTAGAAATTGCGTTATTTCGTGTGCGGCTGAATGTAACGTTAAATTCTTAGTAGATGAAACAAATTGTCGAATACTAGGCGAGCTTACAGTCGTGAAAACAAGCCACATAATTGTGCCTTTAGTTGGAGGCCGTCGAGTGACTCTTGGTGTCAAGTGCGAGCCGTTGACGATATGCTGGTGATCCTGGCCTTCATTGGAGTTCGCTTCGCCCTCCATGTGTCCAGGCAGAGCGCACGCTCTCTGGCGGACGAATGCTACACCAGAAAGTAATCGATTTGTTTTTGTTTACACTGATATTAACGCCTTACATGTGGTACGATATATTTCACACACAGTCAACACATTTCAGAGATGTTTCTGATATTCTCTATAGTTTATGTTCTAACAAAATTATTGACATATCTATGTTGTCATTTCTTTACTTATTGATTTTTTGTTTTTACACATATCTTATGTCACTGTTAATTATAACTATTTTACGGATTTTATCGCGTTTAAATAGATTTTTAAATTCGCGACGCTTGGAACCCTTTCCAGCGTTCATGGTCTGTCCCGTGAAAATAGTTTCCTTTAACAATTTCTTTACTTGTTGCAATTAGTTCTGTTTACTCGTCTTATTAATTAAGCCCATGAAGTTAACGTTGATCATGTAGTGTTTTGGGTTTATCGTATAGCCATCGATAGAAGACTTTATCTTGTCCAGTATATTACGTCAAGTAGCGTTGTTTTCTAAATTAGCACAGTATTAAATTTGAATTGTTATTATGATGATCAAACTAAATAATGACACTTGCTTTTTGAAATGAAAGCGAAAATAACATTGTTCCAATAACATTTGTCATGATCTTTATTAAATACAGATTTAACGGTGTAAAATTAGAAATAATATGATTAAATTATCGTGGTCGAAATTTGAAATTATATATATGTACAGTTTAAAATTGTCTGTACATTGACGCACAAACGGGTCTATAACCTCATAATTTTCGTATTACGTATTCCGCTACGTTTACATTTAGGAATGTTAAAATAGGTTTTTATGGGCCCTATCTAAATTGTTTTTTACGTGCCTATATTTCAATTTTCGCGTGTCATATCGAGATAGTATTATTACCCTTATGTTTCGAAATTTCATCGCCATAACTTTTTTTTGTCAATTCTTAATAATAAGTGCCAATCTCTCCACTTAAGATGAAACTTATAAATACGTAGATAAAGCCGTCCCAAAAATTTTCGCCGACACCAGAATTCGAACCCGCACTAAGCTTGCCAGTAAGCGAAGCAGTCCACATCCCTATCGCGCTTGTTTCATCAACTCTGTTTACCATACGTACGTAAGACTATTAGGTGGTAAAATAAATGCAAGAGTTGACATTAAAGCCATATAATAGATGTACAGTTTCAGTAAAAATTAGGTCAAAGACAGTAAAATAGTGATATGAGGGCTTTAAATCTTACCGTGGGAAGGAATGGTACTTTTAACTTCTATAATTCCCGCTATGGCCACACTTATTCGTAGTTCTGCCATAGCCTCTTCTGTGGAACCTTCTGCACTGAACACTCAAGACGAAGATGAGGCCTTCTTTGATCCACTGAACACTGAACTACTCTAGTAGAATTCTTGCCGCCGTCAGCCCCGAGCTATGGTTTAAAAGTTTTACTTTTTTTTGTGAAAAAGTGGCAAACGAGCTGACGGTTCACCTGATGTTAAGTGATAACCGCCGCCCACGGACATTTGCACCACCAGTTGCAGATGTGTTGCCACCTTTTAAAAAGGTGGGCCCCGGCTACCTCACCCACCAGACTAAACGCAGAAGTGTAACACTTCTGCTTTACGCCGGTCTTCTGTGAGGTCGTTCAGTGGTGCCGACACGGGGGATCGAACTATGGTTGCTCGAGTATATTGAATTAAAAGCGAACGTCCGGACAATGGACAATCACGGCTCATTGTCTCATACTTGTTCATAATTAAATCAAAGACATTCGTGCCTTCTATATATAGCTCTGAGATATCATTTAGCAATGATAGTAGGAGTTTATTACTTTTCATTTAAATTAATAAACGGTATTGCATTTAAGTGGTAACAGTGGTAGGACAACCGTGGTAGGACCACGCAACAGTATTCGCTGTTGCACGAATGGGCAGGCCCGTCCGCGTAAGTACCACGACCTCACAGAAGACCAGCGTAAAGTGGAAGTATGACAAATACTTTCGCGTTTTGTCTGGTGAGTGAGGTAGCCGGAGCCCAATTTTCAAAAGGTTGTCAACGCATCTGTAACCCTCGGGTGCGGCAGATGGCCATGGGCGGCGGTATGCTCGTTTGACAACTTTTCGCATAAAAAAAAAAAGTTTAAAGGTTTAGTGCGCGATTCGATACTTTAGTTTTGTAACAGTTGAAATACAAATAACTTATGAATGCCGCCCAATTTACAGACTAACAAATCAGTCCTTTTTAAACTTCCTGATTTAAGGTTGGTGGGGCATTGATACACACGGTTCTGATCTAGACCTACCCTGTGAGAAAATAACACACAGAGGCTTTGCAGACTTATTTACAAATCATCTTTTGCCTTCTCTGGGTTTCACCACTATATCTTTGTCAAAGTAGAGCATGAAGTAAATGTTATTGGTGCTTGCTTCGAGATTTGTAATTAGTCGCTAGAGATCAGACCGACTGAAACCGACTGGCGAAATGTCGGCCTTAATCTTTACAGCTAATTGCTTGGAATTGGAGCCTAATTGGAATCATCTCAACCACTAAAGTGAACAAAAATAAAACATTCGAAATGAAAACTTTTCCTACTAGTTTATTATCAATAATTTTATTCAGTCAGATGGTCAATAAAGGTTATACAAATAGTGCATCTATTTGTATAACCTTTATTGACCATCTGACATTGTTCATCCACTGTATCTAGATTTAACTGTGGTAACAGCACGGAAAAGCATTCGCTGTTGAACAAATAGGCAAGCTCGTTTGGGATGTAGTGTACCCCGGCCTCAAGGAAACCAGCATGAGGCGGAAGTATTATACTTTTGAGTTTCGACATGAGAGTGAGGTAACCGGATTCTTAAGGTTTGCAAAGCATCAACAGGCGCCTAGGTGCTGTGAGTATCCATGGGTATTCACTTGATATGAAGCGAACCGACTTACAGCTATTCAAAATAAAACACTGACCCAAATTAATAAAAATTATACTCGCTTAAAAAATTCTTTGATCCGTAGACCAAATAAGCTATAACGTAGACTACGATAAATTTGATTCGCGATCCTTTCTAGATGACCTGACCTCGTGTCCACTTACGACGGCTCACCTTGATGGTTTCTATCATATTTGTCTCGGCAATAACGATATTATACATTGACGGTAAACACTTGTTTCACAGCCGCTCTGTTAATGTATGAAAAGAGCATAAAACGAAATATAAACCTTAGTAACGTTGTAACCAACGTTGCGTTGCTTACATAATTGAGTTATATAATACTTCATGCTTGATGTTTTGAGTTTAATGATATGTCTTTAGATATATCCTACTACTTTGCCCTAAAGGACAGTTATCGTTTGCGTTCCACCCCATTCGCAAATTCAAGAGGAAAGGTACTTTCGCTTTGAATTTGTATAAGTATTTTAATCTCGATTAAGGTTTATCAGTTCTAATACGTTTCTTTGTTCAGTGTTACTTTTAAACATTAGCAATAAGCAATTAAAAAATACAGTCTTGTTTACACCTATGAGGTAAACATGACATACTTATAGAATTTGATGATTATTAGTCCCTTTCCATACATCGCGCTCACATGTCTTACAGTGATTTTTGCAACAACCTCACTGCAAACTTCATAATTATGTGTTAGATTACATTAATAACTTACCTTTCGTGTTCGTTATCGTGGTTAGTTGAAAACACTAGCTAGAATCGTCAATAATTAATAAGCGATATTAATTCCGCCTGGCGGGAACAAAATAGTAATGTCATAAAACAAAATAATGTAAAGATGACATTGTGGATTTTTTTCTTTAGGTCTCCTCTCATCATTATACATATATTTGTGAAATAATGCGTTACATCATTACAAATTCTTCGCAATAACTAATGTCAGTATCGTTTGCGCTTGACCAATGCACATAAAGTTGGGATAGCACAGACGTCGAAGCGTAAGTTTAAGTAATCTGTTTGGCTATCAGCAACGCATAAAACGTATCCTCCTCCCATCCATCATTACATATTAGTGAAATAATGCATCTCATCATTAAAAATTCTTCGCACTAAGTAATGTCATTATCGTTTGCGCTTCACCAATGCACTTAAAGTGATCGCACAGACGCCGAAGCCTAAGTTAGTTTAAGCAATCTGTTTGGCATCAGCGGCAAAGCACTATACGTCATTTTTATAGGTGTACGATGTAGCTAACGATCACAGCTATTAATAACTAACTTAACTACTATCCCAACCTAACCTAACCTGCCATTAAACAATTTATTCCTTACCACTAACAATGGGTTGAACCATTATGTATTTTCAGTTATTTGCCCGCACTTAATGAATGCTGTGAGACCACAATAGCTTAATATTATGAAGTGCGAAACTTCAACCGTCGTGTAATGAAAATAATTTGCCCCTAGCGAGGTATCTCCTTTTCACGGAAACGACGTCACACACGTCTTCCTAATTTCTCTGACTGTCTTATTTTATATTGTTCTAATCGGTGAACATAATTATCAGCGGTAACATTAAATCTATAAAGTCCGATATCAAGCAGTTATACGGATCAGTAATTATACGTATGCCACTTATTGATAAAAGTAAATTAAATCTCATTAAAATGAAATAAAATTTATAAGAAGAGTACAACAACCTTCAGTAATGAAGACCACGAAGGAGAAAAAGAATATGTTTTCTATTTGATTTTGAGGAGTTATGTATGTATCTCCGTATTCCAAGGTCCAATATCAATCCAATTAATATGTTGAACCACATGGGAACCAAACCAAGCCCCTATGCAAAAATAATTTTTAAAATCGGTTCATAAACGACTGAGTTCTGAATTAAAAATTGTTTTATTTTTTCTGAAGTGAAAATAGTTTTGTCTCATAATGTGTATTGTTCGCGTTTAAATATAAGAAAAGTAAGGATATTTAGTGCAGATTTCATAGAGTTGGAGCCGCAGTGTTCTATTGAAGGGCCCTAACCATATTAGGAACCGGGGTTTGCA